CACACACACACACACACACACACACACACACACACACACACACACGATTACACTGACTTTTATTTTGACACAGCAGGTAAGTCTTGTGGTTTTCCAAGGTTGAGCTTAGGTGTAACAGCTCCCTCTTTGGACAGCAAAAAGAAGCTGCATTTCAAAATAAAAGCCTGTTCTTAAATTAAGTCTCACATCTTTRCCTACTGTTTTAGGTTTTTGTGTTGATATATCTGCTGCATGACTGAAAAAGGCTTGTTTGATCATTCAAATTCTATCAATCATCCAGCCAGTCTCGTGAGACATTTCTGGGTCTAAATGTTTGGTTTTCTCACACCAGCGAAGGCAACGACCCTCTTCACCAAACACACGAAGGCCTTAGTGTGGGGGATGCAGACCCGGGCCGTTCAGGGGATGCTGGACTTCGATTATGTCTGTTCCAGAGACGAGCCGTCTGTTTCAGCGATGATCTACCCGTTTACGTAGGTTCCTTTTTTTATAGATTTATTCTTGAATTTGCTCTGTTGACGGTGTAGTTTCATGGAGTTTCTTCYGCTCGACTCTGTCTGCAGTGGAGACCACAAACAGAAATTCTACTGGGGACACAAAGAGATCCTCATCCCTGTGTATAAAAACATGAGTGACGCCATGAAGAAGCATCCTGACGTGGACGTGCTCATCAGCTTCGCCTCTTTGCGTTCAGCCTTTGAAAGCACCATGGAGACCATGCAGTACCCTCAGGTAAACCCCTCCTCCTGCATCATTCGAATAAAAGATGGATATCATTCGCTAATTAAAACTGCCTCCAGATTCGGACCATTGCCATCATYGCTGAGGGAATCCCCGAAGCCCACACCAGGAGGATCATTAAAGTTGCAGATGAGAAGGGTGTCACCATCATCGGACCGGCAACTGTAAGTTTGGCTTCCATCCTCATCTCATTATCTGCTGGCTGCTTCTTTCCTGTCGAAGCAAACCCCAGCGGGTGTTTTTGTGAAGGTCGGAGGAATAAAGCCTGGCTGCTTTAAGATCGGCAACACGGGAGGCATGCTGGATAACATCCTGGCCTCCAAGCTTTACCGTCCAGGCAGCGTGGCCTACGTGTCCCGCTCAGGCGGCATGTCCAACGAGCTCAACAACATCATCTCCCGCACTACGGATGGTGTTTTTGAAGGCGTGGCAATCGGCGGAGACAGGTGTGTGATCATACGTGGGCTCTTTAAGCCTGTTGAGCTGCCGTGTAATGCTGAACTCCACTGCAGGTACCCGGGCTCGGTGTTCACTGACCACGTGCTGCGATACCAAGACACGCCAGCRGTGAARATGATCGTTGTGCTCGGAGAGGTGGGRCGACTCTTTTAAGCTGTGCAGTCTGAATCTTTTATTGGTTACAATAAATATGTCTTACAAAATGTCTTATAGATTGGCGGCACAGAGGAATACAAGATCTGCCAGGCTATTAAACAGGGCAGAATCACAAAGCCAGTAGTGTGCTGGTGTATTGGCACCTGTGCCACCATGTTTTCCTCAGAGGTAAGACTAGACCTCTAATGAGACACTAAAGAAAGCAGCTACATTTTTTTTTGTACTTGTTTTTCCTCTTCAGGTGCAATTYGGCCACGCAGGAGCTTGTGCCAACCAGGCTTCAGAGACGGCAGTAGCCAAGAACAAAGCTCTAAAGGAAGCTGGAGCGTTTGTYCCTAAGAGCTTTGATGAGCTGGGAGAGATCATCAAGTCAGTGCCCGGTCGCAACCATTCCAGTAGTTTATCATCCAAGTAGAATAATCTGCAGGACATGTTGGTAAACTTACTGTTTGGTTTTAGTTTAAAAAGCTGATTGTGTGATTTTCTTTTTTCTCTCTCTCTGCAGATCTGTGTTTGACGATCTTGTTGCCAAAGGAGTCATTCAGCCAGCTGAAGAGGTGCCGCCTCCCACTGTACCAATGGATTACTCCTGGGCACGAGTGAGTCCATCACATGATAAATATTAAAAAAAACTTTGTTTATGGTCAGGGTCGCATAAGGAATGTAATCAAAATTGTGCCAAAACAAACACGTTTGTACAGCTGTCCYACCTGACCTATGACTGCTTTACTAAACTGTGCAGATATTTGTTTAGTCCCATGTTCTATAAAATATAACTAATTCATCTGGTTAATATGTCACTTTAATATGTTAAGAACTCAGCAGTTTTACTGGAATGTTTATAACCAGTTTCTTGTACTTAGTTCAATAACTTTTATCTGTTTTAGGGAGAAAAAAACAGGATTCATACATTTATTTTATTTAATCAGGACAGTGTCTAATTAAAACTTAAATATAAAAAGATTTGATGCTTTACACCTTAAGTTACATCTTTATACCCTCCAGACTTTGGGACTGCAGGTGAATAATTAGCCTTAGGCTAAATCTGGTGCAATGCATCAAATTATGTTTTARTTGCACACTGTCCTGAACAAATAAAATCATATCAWATCAGACAATAAACAAACATCAACACTAAATAAAACATCCAACACTAATGGAACTAAGAAAAAAACACCCCCACCCTCCAACAAATTATTAAAAGAAAGATATTTTACTGATTACCTAGTAAAATTTTGCTGTGTTGAGTATATTTGAGATAATTCTTTAAATTATTTTAAAACTAATAAAAGTACTTCATATTTTTACATTTTTACTTAAAGTTGACATATCCTGCAAAATTCACTTTTTAGTTGTTAAATACATTTTGTCGTACTTGGAGGCTCTAGGAGGCCGAAAAGTTTAATTTAGTTTCTCCTGGTGCTGCTAAGGTATCTTTATGTTCTGTTTGGGTCAGATTTTTCAGCCCSTTCAGTTTTCTCTATTTTCTATGACGTTTTCTGAACTTTTACAACAAATTATCTGCGACACAATTACCATATAAGGTCTGGACTTACCAACTACAATTTCCTCGTCTTCATTCTCCTCTGGTTCTGGGTCAGAGTCTGGTTCTGGGTCTGAAACTGTCTCAAACTGGAGTGGACCRGTCTGGAAGCCAGAGGGGGGCGGGGCTTGAAGCATCTTAAAGGAACAGTAACACAACCAGCTGCTTAGAGGCACACATCAGGAAAGGGGTGAAAGAGGTGCTGGTAAAGTTAAAATAAGGAAGAATTCAGACCAAAGCGTTGCAGTTCCACTTTATAAAAAGACCCTAAATGAATGATTTAAATGTGAAAAGGAAGGATTTAATAACGGATATGTCTACTTTGAAAAACATTTGACACATTGCACCCAGTTTAGCTTGAGGCTTATTTACATCTGTTCTATTATAGCTATTCTTAATTTCCTCTGCATTAATATTTTGTGTTCAGAGTAAAATAAAACATTATTTCACCAGTCTACACTCACCGGCCACTTTATTAGGTACACCTGTCCAACTGCTCGTTAACACTTAATTTCTAATCAGCCAATCACATGGCGGCAACTCAGTGCATTTAGGCATGTAGACATGGTCAAGACAATCTCCTGCAGTTCAAACCGAGCATCAGTATGGGGAAGAAAGGTGATTTGAGTGCCTTTGAACGTGGCATGGTTGTTGGTACCAGAAGGGCTGGTCTGAGTATTTCAGAAACTGCTGATCTACTGGGATTTTCACGTACAACCATCTCTAGGGTTTACAGAGAATGGTCCAAAAAAGAAAAAACATCCAGTGAGCGGCAGTCCTGTGGGCGGAAATGCCTTGTTGATGCCAGAGGTCAGAGGAGAATGGGCAGACTGGTTCGAGCTGATAGAAAGGCAACAGTGACTCAAATAACCACCCGTTACAACCAAGGTAGGCAGAAGAGCATCTCTGAACGCACAGTAGGTCGAACTTTGAGGCAGATGGGCTTCAGCAGCAGAAGACCACACCGGGTGCCACTCCTTTCAGCTAAGAACAGGAAACTGAGGCTACAATTTGCACAAGCTCATCGAAATTGAACAAGAGAAGATTGGAAAAACGTTGCCTGGTCTGATGAGTCTCGATTTCTGCTGCGACATTCGGATGGTAGGGTCAGAATTTGGCGTCAACAACATGAAAGCATGGATCCATCCTGCCTTGTATCAACGGTTCAGGCTGGTGGTGGTGGTGTCATGGTGTGGGGAATCTTTTCTTGGCACTCTTTGGGCCCCTTGGTACCAATTGAGCATCGTTGCAACGCCACAGCCTACCTGAGTATTGTTGCTGACCATGTCCATCCCTTTATGACCACAATGTACCCAACATCTGATGGCTACTTCCAGCAGGATAATGCGCCATGTCATAAAGCTGGAATCATCTCAGACTGGTTTCTTGAACATGACAATGAGTTCACTGTACTCAAATGGCCTCCACAGTCACCAGATCTCAATCCAGTAGAGCATCTTTGGGATGTGGTGGAACGGGAGATTCGCATCATGGATGTGCAGCCGACAAATCTGCGGCAACTGTGTGATGCCATCATGTCAAAATGGACCAAAATCTCTGAGGAATGCTTCCAGCACCTTGTTGAATCTATGCCACGAAGAATTGAGGCAGTTCTGAAGGCAAAAGGGGGTCCAACCCATTACTAGCATGGTGTACCTAATAAAGTGGCCGGTGAGTGTAGTATTTATTATTATTATTATTTAAAGTAAACTTTTTATTAGGAAAATTCAGAAAGAGGTTGAGCAAAATAACAACAAATTAAGTGTGATTACCTTATTTAGAAGAGGTGAAATTCTAGATCTAGTTTCATTACTTTTAATTTTATTTAAGTTTAATTTTTGACACAACTCCCAACTACAAGCTAACATTTGAGCTGTAAGTAGATTTCTTTATTTTTGCAGTCCTTATAAACATAAACTAAACCACGTCCTGCAGTTCTGAATGAGGGTATGTTTTCTTGGGTCTGCTGTGCAGGAGCTGGGTCTGATCCGTAAACCGGCCTCCTTCATGACCAGCATCTGTGATGAGAGAGGTCAGGAGCTCCTCTATGCCGGGATGCCCATCACTGAGGTCTTCAGGTCTGAAATAGGCCTGGGAGGAACTCTGGGCCTGCTTTGGTTCCAGCGGAGGTTAGACTCCTTTCTGTACCTTTGCTATCAAATGCTACACAGGGATTTGTGACCGTTTTGTTGTGTGCAGGTTGCCCAAGTACGCCTGCCAGTTCATCGAGATGTGCCTGATGGTTACGGCAGATCACGGCCCTGCCGTTTCTGGCGCTCACAACACCATCGTCTGCGCCCGAGCTGGGAAAGACCTGATCTCCAGCCTCACCTCGGGCCTCCTCACCATTGTGAGACACTTTTGATTTGTTCTTTTAAAGTGTTCATGTAGCTGACAGAAGTCCGCCATGAGCCAACGTCTCTTTTGTTTCTTCAGGGTGACCGCTTCGGAGGAGCCCTGGACGCAGCGGCAAAGCAGTTCAGCCATGCGTTTGACAGCGGCATGCTGCCCATGGAGTTTGTCAACAAGATGAAGAAGGACGGCAGGWTGATTATGGGCATAGGACACCGGGTCAAGTCGGTTAGTTTTTGCAACACGTGAGAAACAAGAAATAAGGAAATAAGCACTTTTCTGGAAATGTTGCTGCAGAACAAAACCTGCAGAAATAAAATAGTCGTCTTTTTTTTCTCAGATTAATAATCCTGACATGAGAGTTCAGATCTTGAAGGACTTTGTGAAGCAGAACTTTCCTTCCTCTCAGCTGTTGGACTACGCTTTAGAAGTGGAGAAGATCACCACCTCCAAAGTAAGAATCTGAACCTTTTTCTGCTCCAACACAAGATCTTCACTCGTTTGTTTTGTCACCTGACCTTCTGTTCTCTCCGCCCTGAAAAGAAACCAAACCTGATCTTGAATGTGGATGGCCTCATCGGTGTGGCCTTCGTGGACTTACTCAGGACTTGTGATGGATTCACACGGTCAGAARGGGAGCGCTGATAAGTTCCTGTGCTCAGATTTCAGGTTCCTCACATCCAGGTCGAATATCACTTTGTGTTTTTCTGTCACACAGGGACGAGGCTGACGAGTTTGTAGAAGTCGGTGCCTTGAATGGCATCTTCGTCCTGGGTCGCAGCATGGGGTTCATCGGTGAGTTTTTTCTGTTCGGTTCAGTTTAAACATGGTGCCAGTTCACAGAGAGTCATCTCACTGCACCATACAAAACAAAAATCCAGTTGTGATCCAGTTTGATTTCCAATTACCAGTATATTAAATCTTCACTTTAGTTGGATCGCTGTTTTCAGCATAATTTCTCTTGGTTTGTGAGTCCCCTCCTGTTTCTAGCTCGCTCTTAGATCCATTAATGTTGTCTCCTCAGGACACTACCTGGACCAGAAGAGGCTGAAGCAGGGTCTGTATCGCCACCCCTGGGATGACATCTCCTATGTGCTTCCAGAGCACATGTCTATGTAATAAAAGCTGAGCCATCAGTTCCCAAACCCTCACTGTGATTTGCCACTTAAAAAAATAAATACATATACAACTAGTGACATTATGAAGGGAAGATGTTACAAATATTGTAGCTGCAAATTGTCTWTTTTTCATCCTGAAGGCCAGTCTATGCTGCGGGTAAATAATTGTTGGGAAAATTTAACTGTTGATCATAACTATCTGTCACGATAAAGTGCTGTTATTTATCTCCAAATATAAAATGATATTTGCTGAGTATGTGTGTCTGTGTTTCAGACTGTTGTGTCGATGTTCTGCTCTCATCACTGTGCCGTTTTTTAAAAACAAAATGTGATCTCATAGTGCAATACCAGATSAAACCAGAACGTCCATAGAGCAGAGCTTTTCTCCTGTGTCAGTGCATTAATACAAAAACTAATAATAATTAATAGAGTATTATTGTTTTTATGTGATGCTTTTAATGAGGTGTCAAAACTGAGATGTTGGTGAACATTTTGTGCCAAACTTTCTGCCCACTGTCGTTTGCTGTAATTATGTTTCTTTTGTATAAGTTCATCRTATTCTGAGTTGGATTACAAGTTGAACCACATGCACAGCAGTTTGAATCATTTTAGCATTAATAACAGTGAATCTTTGCATTATGTTTATCTCTGTTATATTTGAGTTTAGAGACTATTTTATTTCATAAAATTAGACTCTTAACAGCAAGGCAGTGTGTGTCTGGTGTCATCTGTGCAGAAAAGTTTTTTTTTATTTGTTGCTTTTGTTTCTAAATAAAATTTTAACTGTTCCCTTATGAACTAAATGTGCTTCTGTGCCAATATGTTGTATGTTTACAACCATAACAGGTAAAATAAATATGATAAATGACTGTGTAATTTCTCTCTCTTTCTGTCACCTGCTGCCTTGTGTGATTTTTAGATTTTAACACGTGACAAATCTATATCTGCTGACTAAATTGCATTATTTGATAATCATACTCATAACTTCATTATGACAAAACAAGTTTATAAAAGTTCTTGAAGCTAAATTTCTTAGATAAAATAATAAAAACAGCATAACCTTGTTTGCTATCTACAGAAGCCTTCTGTAGCTATCCACTCTAGCATTTAGGTGATGTATAAACTTATTCAGTAAAATGTTTTTTAAGCTTTATTAGCAATTGAAATAGAACAAAGAAAACACTCATAATGTAAATGATACATCTGTCTCCACCATTTACAGGAGTTAAAAAATTGAAAAGTAACATTATGAAACTTTAATAAAGTAAAACATAAAATAAAACAACTAAGTAAGCAAAGATCCAGCTGTTTGCATTATGTACATGGTAAAATATGAGTAAGTCCCAAAATGAGAAATTAAATTACTTTTTTTCACATGAAGCAAAGAAGTATGTGTGTGTGTGTGTGATATCTATATATATATATATATATATATATATACACACGCACTCACACAACAGAAAATGAAATGTATGTGAAGGCAAAATCAGACAAAACAAAAACACATTGATCACTACAACTTATGACGTCAACTTGACCCTCACTGCGCATGTCAGAGATCTTGTTTGTGTTGTTTACAAAAATAAAATAAAAAACAAAAATTTGATTACCATGACACTACAAACAATAACATTATTTTAAGTTTAGAGAAGAAAAATAATCGTGTTTTATTTTGTTTTGGTTTGTTTTAATCTTTTTTTTAAATAACGGAAGTGACGCCACAGCTACTCTTCTTCTTCGCTGTCATTTTCCTCCTGGCCTCCATGTATGTGTGGCTGCGTATGTCGCCTCCCTTCCCTCGCTAGTTTGCTTCATCTCCCACCTCCGCTCACCTCCAGTTCGGGTAGCAGAATGGCAGCAGCGGCCCCCAACCCGGAGGACTCCGCCAGGTGCAGCGGCGGCTGCAGCGGAACCAGCACACCCAGCGCGCTGGCCGGGGACGGCGACGCRGAAGAGGCCGAGGACTTCACCTCCTCCTCCCACTGCTCGGAGCTGTCGCGGCGGCAGAACGAGCAGAGGAAGCAGGGTTTGTTCTGCGACGTGACGCTGGCCTTCAGCAGCGGGGCGGCTACCGGAAACGTCCAGAGCTGCGAGTTYTCAGCCCACCGGTCCGTCCTGGCCGCTGCCACCGATTATTTCACCCCGCTGCTGGGAGGACAGTTCTCCGAGTCCCTCTCCGGGCGGGTGGAGATGAAGGAGTGGAGCTCGGAGCTGGGGCCGGACCCGGAGACGGTGGAGGGTGTGATCCAGTACATGTACACGGGGGAAATACGCGTTAGCACCTGTAATGTACACGAAGTACTGGAGCTGGCGGACAGGTATAATCTAATTTTCAAATGTAGAAAACAAAAACTATGCACGACGCCTTATTTTGTACTGTTGCTTTTACAGAAAATGCAGTTTGTACCTGTTTTTTTTAATGAAAGAAAACACATTTGTCACTAAAATAAATTCAAAACAAAAGAACACATTGTTTTGAATTGTGGTTCACCTGTCCACAGGTATTTGGACTCTGCTCAAGCTGTCTCAGGCAGAGGGATGCCTTCTCCAGTCCAGTGTTTTGCTCAGAGACTGTGTTTTAGTTGGTTTTGGGCCATTATCTGGTTGGAGATCTGAGGCCAGATTGTCACTGCAGCACTTTTCTCTCCAGAATGCCTTGATAGTCTTGAGATTTCATACARGTTCAACACTCTGTGTTAGACGCAGCGAAGCAGACCCAAATCATAACCGAGCCTGCTCCGTGTTTCACTGTAGGTTCAGTGTTTTTCTTTCYGTTTATGTTTTATTTTTGTGTCTGTGGATACTGCACTCATTGTTACGCGTGTTGAAAAAATTTTTTTCCCACTTTTTACTTGAAAATCACGAAGCAAAGTCTTGCATTACGTGCGTAACACAATAAAAATGTCTCAATATTTCAAACCAAAGCAGAAAACGAACTAGATCAAACATTTAGATAGATTTCCTACCTAGTAACAAACACTGCCAGGGCAGGACAATGTATTTATCAAAGTGCCGATCATTGTGGCCAAAAGGTTTGTCTTATTTGTCCAAACGACTCTCCCAGAGGCTTTGTGAATTGTCTTTTTTGCATTTTGGTAAATTCCAGYCTCGCTTTGGTATGATCTGGTGTCSTCATCTTCCACTAAGTTAACCTCGACTCAAACAGGAGTTCACGTTTAATCTCTTCAGAAGTCGGTCTGATCCGTCTCTTTAATTTATCTTCAATTTTCCTCTTGTGTCCTCCAGTCTTGTCGACCTTATAATCCAGAATAATCTGCAGCTGTAGTCACAGGAACATCAARCTTGGTGGAGATGGTCTTATAGTCTTTACCTTTAACATGCTTGTGAATATTTATTTCTAATCTTAGCTTTTGGTGGACCATGATACCAACAATGTGACTATTTTGTACTTTTTGTGGTGATTTTTATTGTCCTGTTGACTCACATTTCAAAAGTAATATCTTATTTTCATTGGTTGACCATTAGTAAAACATTTTCTTAATATTTTTTGTCAGTTTCAAGCATATTTAGTTGACATGAATTGCTCATTTTCTTCTATTTATTATATCTTTTTTGTGTACTTTATGTTAGGTTCCTGCTGCTGCAGCTGAAAGATTTCTGTGGCGAGTTCCTCAAGAAGAAGCTGAGCCTGACCAACTGTGTGGCAGTCCACAGTCTGGCTCACATGTACACCCTGGACCAGCTGGCTTTACGAGCTGCAGACATGATTCGGCGCAACTTCCACAAGGTCATCCAGGAYGAGGAGTTCTACACGCTGCCCTTCCACCTGGTCCGTGACTGGCTGTCGGACGCGGAGGTCACGGTGGACTCGGAGGAGGTGCTGTTCGAGGCTGTGGTGAAGTGGGTGCAGAAGAACCTGGAGGAGCGGAGCCGCTACTTCGAGGAGCTGTTCCGTCTCCTCAGGCTGCCCCAGATCAAGCCCACCTACCTGACCAGGGTGGTGAAAAACGAGCGGCTGGTATCGTCCAACGAGGCCTGCCTCCGGCTGGTGTCGGAGGCCGTGGAGGGTCACGCCATCCGCTTTGAGAACCTCAAGTCCGCAGACATGGAGTTCTGGTCGTCGCACATGGCCTCCTTTCAGCCTCGCTTCGGCCAGAATATGGACGTCATCATGGTGGTGGGAGGGGTGTCCGAGGGAGGCGACTACCTGAGCGAGTGTGTCGGCTACTTCGTTTACGAGGATCGGTGGGTCAACCTGCCCCACATCCACAACCACCTGGACGGCCACGCCATCGCCACCACGGAGTCCCACGTCTACGTGGCGGGTTCGATGGAGCCGGGCTTCGCCAAGACGGTGGAACGCTACAACCCCAACCGCAACACCTGGGAGCAGGTCAGCAACCTGACRACGCGCAAGCACTCGTTCGGCCTGACTTGCATCAAGGACATCCTGTACAGCATCGGCGGCCACGGCAACTTCAGCCCGGGCTTCAAAGACGTCAGCGTGTACGAGCCCGAGCAGGACAAGTGGCACAATCTGGAGTCCGCCCCCAAGATCCTGCGCGACGTGAAGGCGGTGAGCGTGGAGGATCGGTACGTGTACGTCACGGCTCGCACGCCCGTGGACACGGACAACGAGGACGGACTGAAGACGGTGACCACCCGCTACGACACGGAGAGCCGCCAGTGGCAGGACGTCGACTCGCTGCCGCTTATTGACAACTACTGCGTCTTCCAGATGGCGGTGGCCTCGACTAACTTCTACCACACGGCTTCCTGCTGCCCCAAGAACTACACGGTGAGGGACGAGGTGGCCAGGCAGAAGATCAGCGCGCGCATCTCCGATGAGATCCTGGAGAGCCTGCCGCCGGAGGTGACCAGCATCGAGGGCGCCGCCGTCTGCCACTTCGACGAGGACGTCTTCGTCATCGGCGGCTGGAAGAACAGCGACGACGTGGACAAGCAGTACCGCAAGGAGGCCTACCGCTACTGCGCCGAGCGGAAGCGCTGGATGCTGCTGCCGCCCATGCCCCAGCCCCGCTGCCGGGCGACGGCCTGCCACGTGCGCGTCCCGTACCGCTTCCTGTACGGCTGCCAGCGCTACCCCATGCCCCAGAACCTGGCCCGCCAGCGAGACCGCATGCAGCAGATGCAGCAGCTCCACCGGCGCACCCTCACCTTGCGCCGGCAGCTCCAGTCGCAGATAGAGTGCTGAGCGGGTCGCCRAGGACGCCGCGCGGCTCCGTCCGGAGATTTACCGCCAACCGCCATCTCCCCTCCCCCTGTCCATACACGAAACGCCGCGGTGGGTCTGGTGTTGCTTCGTGCTAGAGTTTACTCATCTAAACCGTGTGGCAGCAGCTCCCGAGCTGCGTTGTGTTCATCGYTACCGTGTGAAAAGCCATGAAACATCTGGGCAGGTGTGCACTGACCAGGTATTAGTCTGTGAGGATGCGGCATACTTCAAACATGTGAATAAAAGTGTTATACAGCAGCCAAATCTGAAAATACTTTAGTCGTTGATGTAGATTCAGATGCTGGTTATCTATTTGTAMATAAATAGTATAAATCTGTATATGTATACATTTATATTGATATTTTACATTCCGTTGTACGTTAGTTCTGGTAAGGATACGTGATCTCAGTAATTCCTGCATTCCTACATTTTTAACGAAGTCTCATCATTCCATCGTAACACTGTGACAATCCTTTCATGGAAGTGTAACCCTGGTTTAAAAACCATAATTTACTTCACTTAAAACAGTACTATTATAGCCTCCGCTTGTTGCTTTACAGCTTCGACATCTAATGTGAGTTAGGTGTTTAGATTAGTCCAGAAATAACCCGTTTGTACCCTTAACAGCTGTAGTGGGTTTTGTTTTTGGTCCTTTTTGTTCTTTGTTACTCTAGATTTCTGAAGACGTGGCCAGATTTAATGAAACGATTTCTCCCTTTGTTGCGTTTAAAGATGATATTCTGCATTAAGAACCAAATCAATGGCAATGGCTCAATCATTCCTCTCTTTTGCACTTTTGAAGACTGTCGATGCATTCCTGCTCATTTGAGGAGAAATAAATGTGTGATTGTTTGGGGGGGGGGGGTATGAGTTGTGTTTGCACAGGTTTTAGGTATTGCTCTGTAAAGAATAGCAAAGGTTTCATTGGAACGGCACTTTTTACCATCTTTAAATGTTTATAAAGTCTTAAAGAGGCATTATTTTGCCACTGCACCTTGATTTTGCTTCATATCAGACAAAGTGATTGTATTCAGGAAATGTTTTTCTTGTCTTTTTTTTTAATCAACTTCCAGCTGTTTCGAACTTTGAACAAGCGCGGTGTTATCAGTATGGGCCAAATCGCTTCAAGCATAAATGTCTCGTAAAAACCCTGTTTTATTGTGCTTCACTTCCAGTCGAGTGATCTGTTCTCCACCAAAGAGACTCAAGAGACGAAATGAAAAAATAAATAAATAAAGGAATAATTTGAGCAAATCAAACAGGGGTTGTTATGAATGTGTTGTGACTGACATTCAGAAATTCCAGCGGTCTTKGCAGAGCTTCTTAAAGTTACAGAAATGATATTCATTTCCACTTTATGACCAACATAAACAGCACTGCAAGCATTAACTGACATAAGCTATGTATTTGCTTTGCATGTGATAGTCTGACATTGTGTCCTTAATAATGGATGTAAGAAATAAAAAAGTCAGCACTTGCAATTAAAGATGTTTTGTAAGAGAGAAGCACGTGTGTGTGTGTGTTATTGCTTAATGAACTGCACATTGCTGAGGTTTATTGGACCTGTGTGAAAACATGTTACAACACACGCCTCCCCTCGGAATTCCTCAAAGCGATGCAGGAAAAATGTATTACAGCATGACAATCATGGGAGAATTATGTGATTACATAACATTAGGTGTTGTACAGGTCATATTTTACCTCAGTTTACCGCATTTTGAAATAATAGCTGCAACATTAGCACTGTTATAAAGTGCTGTGCTTATGTTAAGTCATGTTTTTCTTTTTGTTTGTGCTATAAAAACGAAACCAAACTGGGCTTACAAGCCTCCAAAATGATAAATGAAAAGAAAACACTTTATACATAGGCTTACATATTTATACAACTCACAATGCAATGACTCATACACAGGGGCATTGGCCCCCTGAAGTGCCCCTGTCCTGTCACTCACCTGTCCTTTGCACGAGTGATGGTGCTGGKTGCAGTTCCACGTTCAAACACTAGAGGCGCTAATGAGTCAAATAGAGAAGTCCAGCATGAATTAAACTGTCTGAGTTTTCTCTCCTAGCCCCAACTATGAGTAAAAGCTAATGATTAATATGAGCTAKTTAAACTCATTCTGAGGTATTAGGTATCTGTGATTGAATGCAGGAGGCCAGCTGAAGAGAGATTTGTCTGCCTGCTGATGASAGTATTGCATAAAAGATGAGCGTAGCCATTCACAATTTCACAAGTAAATTTACAAATTTAAGTTTTACATGTATTTTTACTGTACATAAATCAAATACTCTCAGACACACAGCATGTAAGAAAATCCAGCCATTGTTTGTTAGTGGAAAGACTTTTCCTGCAGGATTGTGTTCAAATCTCAAGAAGAGAAATTTTGTGTACCTTTTTAAAGGAAACATCTCTTATTTTGTTATTTATCGAAAGTGTATTCATCTATGAATAAACTGTAATGAATTTTCCACAGTGAATGCCAAATAAAACACAATTTAGAAACTACACCATTATTAACCACACCAACCAGTAGGGGGCAGTGATGCGCGCAGATTTTTTGCCAACCGCCATTAAACTCAAGAAGAAGAARAAGAACCGGTGCAGCAKCAAGGCATCACTGCTTTTTTGTTAGAAAAATGGTAACAGTCATCACTGCTTTCTTTAGAAAAATGGTAACATCCTCCTGTTWTCTTTTAGAAGACTTTCAAACACGTTATCTTTACAGGAATAATGTAATTTATGTGTCGCACGCGAAAATGTTTTAAGCTAACGCTAACTCACAACCAACTTACTGAGAATTCCGGAAGTTGTACGAAGGGAAGAAATATGCRTATTTAAAATGTTTTAGCTTAATAGGGGTATGTTGTAAAGAAGTAGATAGATTGTTTAAGTGTCGGACTAGTTTGTTCCTGTTTTATTTTTGTCTTTTTTTTATTTTGCACAGATTCCAGAGCTGTCCAACCCCTCAGTGTGTATGAAGGATCCTCAGAGGGTCCAAAAGGTCCTGCAGTCCATCGCAGAGGCTGGCGCCAACAAACTGCAGGTATCTTCCCTGACACGCCAATAAACACAAAACCCCTCACACAACATGATCTAATTTAATCATCTTGTTTTGTTTTTGTTTTGTTTTGTTTTTGTTTTGTTTTTTTCAGGTGATCTCAGATTTTGACATGACCCTAACCAGGTTTTCTTACAATGGAAAACGATGTCCCACCTGCCACAGTAAGGAAACCGGTCCGGCACAGATCCAGTTGTTCACCGAAATATTTAGCTTGTTTAGATTTAACCTTTTGAAACGTCGACTCTGTTTTGCAGATATTCTTGACAACAGCAGGGCCATCTCCAGTGAATGCAAACAAAAGGTAGGCAAGACTTTTAAGCAGAGGCAATTTTTTTTTTACTATTTGCGATCTGCGCTTGGGGTCCCTCTCTGGGTCTTTGGCACTGGTCTCCCTTATGTCTGCTTCGGGTCTTGGGGGTCAGGTCTTTAAGTCTCCACAGTCACTATTAAATATAATATGCCATTGGAAAAAATCTTGTGTATACATGCGCGTTCACAACCACACACATACTTGTGCTCAGATCCTGGGGTTTCTGATGATCATTGAAGGCATGTGTGGGGCGTGTGCGTGTGTGCGTGTGTGTGTGTGTACACACACACACATGCGCGCACACCACACATGCCTTCAATACTGTACATATGTGTGTTTGTGTACTAGGGCTGCCACGATTAATCGACGACTAATCCAWTATTAAAATAATCGATGACTAATTTAATAATCGATTAATC